ATTTGAAAAAATTAAGTAGGATGGAAGTAGGGTGCTGGTGCTCGTGAGAAAGTAATGCTCTTAGCCAATCCCAGCAGGGTACAGTGAGTAGGAGGGAAAAAGAGCTTAAGACTGAATTGAATTAAAAAAAATTTTTTTTTTTACACACGATGACAGCATGGTAACTGTTTTGGAGCATTTACTAATAGCAGTGATTTTGTCCCGTCAGAGGCCTAAATTGCAAAATCATTGGTAAAAAACATACTGCTAGTCCGAAGAACCCAGAAGCAAGAGCAACAGTCTCTCAGGCAAATTAGCCAACTTAAGGAGCATTTTGAATGTAGGTATCTGTCTCATCCTTATTCTAAACTCATTATTTTATAGATCTGATATTCCCATCTGCTGTGCAGATTTTGCATCTCAGTGTGTTCTTTTTGGTAAAGCTGTTTGGAATGTTTGATGGTAAGCTGAGGAAAATCTCTACAAAATGACAAATGTAAAGAATTAACAAACTAAACTATTTTTTCATGTCCCACTTAGATTCTAAACACCATCAGAAAAGAAGCAATTGAGAACCTAAAATATATCTGCTATTTTGAGGAAAGGGAGGAGAAAATAGAAAATTTTTCCTATAATAGCCAATTCATTCTATACAACTTATTCAAAATAGACCAACAAAATTGCTACTGTGAACCCCCATAAGGTCAAAGATAGGCTATCTTATGGAATGCTTTGGCAAATTTGAATTGTATGTGACCCAGTATTTTTAAAACAATCAAAATATTTATGTGTACATGCACTTTAAAATACCGGGCATGGTGGTGCAAGCCTTTAATCCCAGTACTACAGAGGCAGAAGCAGGCCTACCTCTATGAGATCAGCCTGGTCTATAGTGAGGTCCAGGTCAGCTGGGACTATGAGGGAGATTCTGTCTTGAAACAAAAAGAAAAAGCCAAACAAAAACCAAACCAAACCAAAGCAAAGCAAAGCAAACCAAACCAAAGCAGCCCACAAAAAACAAACCATGTAGGCTACTCTTAAAATGCTGTCTTTGAAAAATAGACCATGAGAAGTTTGCTGAGAAAGGTGCCTCTTTTAACATTCCATATATTGGCAGAGATGGTACACAACAGGGGACTAGAGTGCCCAAAGAAATGCCCCCTGACCAACCCTGTGCTGCTTGTCCTCCAATCACCAGGGTTTAAACAACAAATAAGCCATAAGGATATTTACTCTTTGCACAAGTAGTCACGGGTCCTCTAAAACAGCCACATGGTCATAGGTAAGTGTCCAACTTGCAGTTAACACAATGGTTTGTAGGACAAGCTATTCAATATGGTCAAGGAACAGAGAATCAAAGGCAGTACTTCATTCTTTGTGACACTACAATGACAGTAGCTGTGTACTACTTAGCATTGTATTTTATGGTTATTTCAGGAACAATAACATTTGGGCAATGATGTTAGGTTTAAAAATTACTTTGTCATGCCTGGGTGTGGTGGCGCACACCTTTAATCCCAGCACTCGGGAGGCAGAGGCAGGTGGATCTCTGTGAGTTCAAGGCCAGCCTGGTCTACATAGTGAGTTCCAGGCCAGTTGGGACTACAGGGATAGGAGAAACAAGTCATGTTCTTTCCCCCCAAAGAGATTCATATATAAAAATATTCTCTTCATTGAATTAAAGACAGTTATATAGTTAGTATACAACAACTTGGTCTTAATAAAAACTTTGAGCAAAACTTTATGTGGCTAACGAGGTACATAGATGCTACAGAACTAGCATTGCTGCACTGTTCTTGGGGTATAATTTCCAGTTCTGGAACTTTCTGTCTACTTTTCTTTCACACTCCACTGATGCAGAATTTTAAAAGTTTAGAGTGGGACCGAACTCAACACAGTATCTTTTCCATACGAAGAAACTGTCTAACTCAAGTTAAATTATTTCCTCAGGACCAGGTCATACATTGGCAGAAGCAGGTCTTATTATTTTCTTTGTTCCTCCTTTACAGGCTAAATAAATTGGGATTTAGTTTGAGAATAAACTATGTCTCTAATTTCTGTTAGATTGGTTTCTTTTGTCATAGAAAAACAAATCAGCTATTTCCTTTCCGTATTTTTTTTTGTTACTTGTATTCAACCTCATAAAATCTACAATAAATAAAATCCCAAAGAGTATTATGCTACAGAACTATTTTCTCAAGGAAAAGTAGAATTCCAAATATTTCTGAATATAGTAGTTTCTGATGTGATAAATTCTAGTTTTAATCAGATAAAACAATTTTATCACTAGTTTCATAAGTATTAAAAACAAACTTTTCCCCTTCAATCTTGCCCTTTGAACAACTCCAACATTTAAATACTTAAAAAAGGTTCTTAGGAGTTAATTCTTTTTCTTTACCCTATCATTCTCCCCCCAAAACTGAATATTTTATAGAACTGTTGTAAACAGTAAGCGTAAAAGGTGAAGATACCTTTTGTGAGAAGACATCAATTGTGAGAAGACACACAATTGGCAGTCAACATCAGAAACAAGTCAATGTTGAAGCAGCAGCTCCTCCATTTAAATGAGTTATTTTTTTCACGCTCATAAAACAAAGGGCCTGCAACGCAGCTGACGGACTCGCTACGCTTCAGTTTACTGGGGACATCACCGACTAAATTTAAACAATTCATTTCTGAAAGTCAATCTGCCTTCCTCTAACCCTTTTCTGTGAGTACAGAGAGATACGTGTGAACTATTTAAGTTTAAACAAGTCAGTAAGTGCAGACCTTGGCCAATTTTACAGATTTAAGAGTTATTTATCAAAGATTATGAAATTCTCTTATGCTTTTAAAATGTTTAAGAGGATCTGGTCTTATAACAACATCTCTCATTTCAGAACAGAAAATTATCCACCAGTCATGCAGATATTACTATAAAATTTAAACGAATACCTTAAATTTTCAAATTTTGCTCTCACAGAAACTAATATATGAAAAATTCCTCCATCTATGTTCAAAAGGTATCCTAAAACTGTGTTGATGTTTTGCTGCTTTACTTTATAAAACTGAAGGGTTCAAAGGTAGAGTATTTACTATTTCAGTTTTTTTTTTTTTTTGTGGTGGTCAACAGAAGAGAGATTTTAAAACGCACACTTGGTGGAAATGAGTTATGATTTTCCCAGGGAATGTGGGAGAGCAATTTAAAGTAGTTTTGCTCACATTTTCAGGAATAGTAAGAGTGCTACTTTCTTCTCACTTCTGCTACTTCATATTCTTCCAGCAGAGAATGGAGGTGACTTAACTGTACTTGCAGCCTCCTAGCCTCATAACTTATACTTTCTCCAAATCATCAGAGCATCTTCTGGCTCCTGAGACTTCTTATAGACTCTGGGTCCTTCATTTAAGAAACAGTCCAACTCTTCAAGGTTGGTTATGTGGCTCTGTGGTAGAGCACTTGCGTAGCACTGAAATGGCTCTGGGTTCCAGTCTAATCACCCCCCTCCCCTCCAAAAAAAAACCTCCAAACCAAACTCAAACAATTCCCCTCAACCAACCAAACAAAAAACAAAAACTCAAGAAAGAAAGAAAGAAAAAAACCCACTTTAAATGATTAAGAGCAGTGTACTCCCTGTGTAGATTTGGATTTGGTAAATTGTTAAATAAACTTTATACCTTTCTTATTATAAGAATAAAAGCTGCATGTTAATAAACCAAGACATTTCAACAAAGTCATAACGTATAATTATAGCTCTAATGCTCATGTGCTCACAAAAGCAAGGTCTTTGGATGAAACAGATAGAAGCATAGTTACTAAAAATTGAAAGCTAAAATTGTTAAAGCTTTAAAAAAATCAGTGTTTTTCATTGAGAACAGTTAACCACAGATACCACTTGGTTATATTATTTAATATTCTGGTCTTTCTGAACTAATTAATATGTTGCTTTGGGAGAAAAAGACCAATGTTTCTTGAAAGAGAGAAGAGGGTCATTCAGAAAGGTAGTGTGAGGAAAAGGACTAGGATGTTAAACTACTTATTTGTACACTTAAAAAAATCAATAGATATTTAACTACTTGTAATCTAAGTAAAAAGCAATGGATTCACTTGAGACTTTCTTGATGTTGTTTATGTATAATGTAGTATAAAGGAAATAATATGCTAACTAGATACAGTATGACAGTTAAGTAAAAGGAAAAAAACATCCTTAAATGCCATACCTAAAGTTGATAGTATTAGGTATGAAGGTATGTTGATATTTACATGGTTAAAGAAGAATGTATGTATATTAGTGTTTCCATATTAGAATAACTCTAGAAGGATATACAAGAAATCGCTAACACTGCTACTTTTCACTGTCTACTTGTTGTAGCATCTTTCTTTGATACATGTAATTCAGGCTGTACTCAAACTTGCTATGCAGCCAAGGATAACCTTAAAGTTTTATTCCTCCTGTTTCTACTTTCCATATGCTGGGGTTACAAAGGTATTTGCTACCATGCCCCATTTACGTGGTGCAGTGGCCAAACCTAGGGCTTTGTGCACACCAGGCAAACACTCAACCGACCTACATCCCCTACCCTATAAATCTGGTACTATATGAACATTTTTCCCTATTCAAAAATGTTAAAACTATGAAAATAAATTTAGATTACTGAAAATGTTACATCAGATTAAGAACAAAGATTTTTTTCCCATTATACAATAGTACATTTTTCTCCTAAGAACTACCTATATAAACTTGACTACATTTTATGATAGATTACTGTGATCTAAAAACCCAATTTTCATATAATATTGAATTGGGAAACACATTTTCTCTGTACTTAGTACTACAGTACTGTGGACTACAGACTGTCTCAACAGCATGCTGACTGATACCTCCTCACTCTCTTCCTCTGAGGAGCTAGCCATTAGCCACCATTTCTCTATGGAAGTCAAGAATGTTGTAAAGAAACTTTAGAAAGATTTCAACGAATCTTATCTGGCAGCCTAAAATACTGTATCTGTATTATTTTGCAGGTACAGAATCAATGTTAACTTCTTTTGACAAAGCATCCTGCCACAGATGTTTGGTGTTTTGGTCAAGACTTCAAACTAAGCAGTGACTAATTAAAGCCCTTACATAAAGCTTGGAAGAGGATTTCGTGGTTTCAGTGAAAGTCATTTGGAAATAAGCAGGAAAAATTACCTTATACCCCCAAAAATCTTGTTTCTGGACAACCAACTAAAATTTAAATTAAGCTTCATTCATTTATATATTAAAATCAATTGTAAAACAAACTTTAAAGGAATGACAAATACATCAGTTTTCAATGGTAGCTGCTGATTAAAATGGTATTTGAGAGTGATTTCCAATTTCATCCTCTTCAAATTGTGCAGCTCAGATAAATGTTTATTTTACTGAAAATATCTGCAAAATTACAATATAAACACAGGATTATATTAAGATTGGATGACTATATATAATGTATTCTTATCTATAGATATAAAACGAATGCAGTAAATATAGCACACTCTTGATGAATTGTTAGTACACAGTGTTTCTCAGTAAAGTACATACAACCTATTATTAAGCAACAATTATCTAGTTTTCAAATGTACATCTTCAAAAGTTTTCAGGGTGGAAGGATACACCAAATCCCTCATCCCTTGGTGAAGGTTAACACTTCTGCAGATTTTGAAATATCCTATTTACTTTAGCAACTTATTAAGCTCTTTGTGTTTCCTTGCTTGAAACTTTATTTCTTGAGTTTGATGGTTTTTAAAACACAAGCTAACCATTCTTTTAAATTCTAGTGCAGTAGCATGTACTGTCTTTTCATTAGTTACTTAAACATGTATTAACAATGACACAGAATCATTAAGAAATGATCTGGCCAAATCCCCCAATTTTACCTTTAGAGTATTATGGGAAGTCTCAAGTTGATATAATCTGAACTGCAATACTAATCTGGATTAGAAATAGTTTTATATTTATTTTAGGCCTTAAGAATACAAAGGTGAAATCTATTTTAAAATTCCTTGTTACCTGCATTGAGATTTGTTTTGAAAGCATCTTCTACTCTTCTCCAGGACACTGATTTAGTGGAAACCTGTTACAATAGTTCCAACACAAACATGTGCATGCAAGAGATCTCCCTACAGATTCTAACTACATAGTTACTGAAACACATTCCACCTGTCAAGTGGCATAAATGTACATCTTCTATATACAAAAGGTAAAGTGCATTATTAAATTAGTGAACTGACAGATTGTCTGCCTGGACCATATAGCTTTCAAATAGACAAATGTGAAATTCTCCCATTAGAACCAATTATTTCAAGAGGTTCCAACTAGCTTTTCCACCCTGTCATTTATTTTTTTGGCCATGCTCTTTAGTGCAAATAAGCTTGTGTTTGACTCAAGTTTAAGGGACATGGCAGTTTGGGGCTTTAACAAGGAAAATTATAAAACGTGGCAGAACGTTAACACCTTTATAATACATTGCATCTTTTGCATATAAGCAACACCTCAGCGCTGCTTTCAGTTGCTAGGAGCACACTGCTAACTATCATGAAGAACCCGTTTCCAAATCTTATACTATTAGCTTATATTATTACAGTTTGAGCCTGTACCACATTGGGCTTAGATTACTATGTGCAAACATCATCAGTGTTTTAGCATTATACAGTGAACTAGTAATTTTGGTTACTAACTTCAATGCTCACTTTTACCTCTAACATCCAGTTGCCTCAAGAGTTTAATGCCTTCAAGGCAAGGATCCTGTTATTTTGAAGAATACCATGTACACTTGCAGCTCCACTTATGTTACAAATGACAATAAATAAAATTTATATTGCACAGATAAAAACAGTAGCTTATTTTATAAGATACATGGCAATACATATCCTAAATCCAGAAGTTTGAACCGGATCATACTTAATTATGGCTAATGAACTCTTGGGAATTTTAAGTATCAAAAATCATAGCATCATACCGTTTTTAATGAATAGATTAACTATGAAAAGGTAAAACAATTGATAAAAGTCTTAATGATCCTAGTGCGTATTCAATTGCCAGTACATATGCATCTACCCAATCTGCAGCTTTGAAATGGTAAGAACTTTGAAGTATACATACAAGGTAGAAAAATCTGGCTGCTTAACTAATTCTTTACTGAAATAATGTAAAATAAGGCTAATAATATGTATATACAATGAATTAAAGATATTTATCTTCATGTCTGACATGGTATTGTGTGCATACATGCAAATATGCATACACACATTCAAACCTCATCAGACTAAAAATCAAAAAAGAAATCAGTTAGTTCTAATGGACGTAAATATTTTTAAAAGGAAGATTAAGATTTTAAGAGAGAGTATACACTCATAGCAACAAGTGATAGAACAATCGAATACTGGAATATTCACAGCTCCAGTTTGCCAAAATCTGGCAGGTTGATCATGAATAGGCACTATGATGGGCAGCAATAACAATCAGTAGTACAGTAATTCAAGTGCACATCACTCCTTCATATACCAAAACCTACTTTTTAGCAAGCCTCCATAGTTACGATAATTTACAGTTAGGACTGTTTAAAAATCCTTGCTACTTTCATAGTCTCAACACCCACCATGTGCTATTAACTTTAGTACTAACATCTTCTAACCTTCCGTTGTTCCACAGTGATCCAGATAGTCCACAATAATGAACTGAGATTCCATCATAGGACTTCAAGAAATGTGAAATATAATCTGCAAACTAACACCAGCATGTATGTCGGAGCTACTAGTTGCTTGTTCTTAAGTAACATAAACCAGTGAAATTAATTTCCTTAATTCATTCTGTGACATTTCCTTAGTGACCTTACTTTAGTATGTTTTGGGAAAAAATTCTGAGGGAAAACTGTTAAAGTAATTGTGAATTACTTAGAGCATATCAAAGAAGAGCTACACTCTGTCTCTGTAGGCAGCTCTCACCAATCAGAGGTGCATTTGGAGAGTTGAAATCAGCATTCTGGTTCCCAAACATGACTGTAAGTACCTACTGTGTGGGAGGCAAATTAAAGCAATATAAAACACAATTTCATTTAGAGTAAAATGTAGTGCAACAGATAAAATTTCAATGGGTGTTGGTACACATATGTACTATACAAAGACCCACATTTTAAAAAATTGCTTAAGTGTTTAAAAATTCAGGTGGCACTTTCTGGAAAGTAATTTTTAATACAGGTTAAAGGATAAATCTTATATGAAGTAAACCTCTTTAAGAATCTTAAGGAGCACCTTGGAAAATGCCTGAATTTTCCTTTCCAATGTTTACAACTAATCTTGTCTCCAAATAATATTTTCCCTAGACTGTAATTTTGTATTCTAAATGCTTTTGTTTAGAAAACATGTTTTTTTTCTGAAGTTAAGGTATCTGTAAAGCGTGGTTTATATCGAGTTTGACATGGTTTTGAGGGCAGCAATTCAAAAATGCTACTGAAATATATTAGTCAATGTAGTTTTACGTCAGCCAACTGGTACACCAACCCCTACGGAACGTGTTAAGGGGGAGCATAAATATAATGCCGGTGGCCACGGCATATTTTAGGGAAATACCTATCACAATTTTCAAATTATCACAAAATGCTAAAACATCAAAATTTCCATAGCAAAGCCGCTGGATGGGACCTCCCACTAAACAGTGACATAAATGTAATTCCTGAATCTTTGGAAAGTCAACAAAAATATACAGTACAACAAAGAGAAGATGGGATTGCAACTACCTCAGAATAACCAACTGAAACTCTGGAATTCCATGGCTTTGATATGGGAATGAAAAACTGCAGGGTTACCACAAAATTTCAAATTATAGAATCCTGTATGTAGCAACTGTTAAGGAACATGCTGCATTTTATGGGCTTAATAAGATTTGATCCTTTAGTGGTACTTAATATTCAGTTACCCAATGAATAATATGTTTCTACTTGTATTTTTATAAAGAAATATACTATATTTGAGGTCAATTTCTGTTTCTCTGGTAACTGTCCTACAGATAAACTCAGCAGCTTTTAGTGAAGTAGGAATGGAATGTTGTGGGGGGGGATTTGTTAAATAGAAATTCACACTTTCATACTAAGTGTATGTATCTTTTTCAGGATTATGTCATAGTGCAATGTAAATCTTAGTTACAATATTTAGAAGGTCAGAATGTCACGTTTTTGTGCTGATTTGCATACTTCAATAGTCTGGAGCAGCTGAAGCAGCTAAACTACTTAGCTCTGGGAAGGTTGGAATTCCCATGATAACTATAGTGATCTATGTATAACATAACATGAGAATCAGACTTCTTGAAGTATAAACTATTAGAGGTATTACTAACAACAAAGGGCCAAAAATAGGACAACCTTCTTCAAAAGATTATGGATCAGTACTTTAGCCAATCTACGATTTTAAATTCTGCCTGATGGAGTTCAATTTCACTCTAGTCGAGGCATTCTTGTTCTTCACCACTGGCCCTTCTGCCATCCATTCTCTTTTCCTTATGGCTGTTGCAAATTTTCCTCATCTCTTCTTCATACTTGATAAAATTCTCCCCAAACCTTGTCCAAGCTTTGAATGGAACAGTAATAGTATTACGGTAAGGTGGCCTCACCTCACTTACCTTCAGGAAAATTCCATATTTATTAGAGCCCACATCAAAGTAGAACCTTTTATTGTCCACTCTGAAAGAGGTCCCCTCTGGGAGTTCAAGTGCTTCATCATCGCCACATCTTCGTTCTTCTATATCCCCTTCGCCATAGTCTTCGATCAGCTGAACCAAGGCATCACGAAATTCAATCATTCCTTGAGCAGGGAGGACAATAGTCTGTTCTTGGCCCAAACTGTGGCCGAAATAACCTATCATGCCAGTCCCTCGCATCATGGTTTGTCTAATCCTTAGGAAGCGACCCCGTTGATTCTCCTTTAGGTCTAGGTAATACTTCCTATTGTCCCTCTCTATGTAGTCTGTTTTGAGGACACTGTGAGGATGCTCTTCGGATCCCACCGACACTGGTGGGGAGGGTGCAGGGTGCTTCTGCCGCCTCCGGGAGCCTTGCTCTTTGCCCTGGCCATGCTCTTGCCTGTGGCCTTTCAGACCCAGGTGGGCGTAGTGCTCGATGAAGTCGCCTAGACAGTCCTTCAGCTCCGCCGCTACCGACAGGGAGAGGGTCAGTTTGCTCTTTCTGATATTGTCCTGCCGGCCTCTCCCTATCCAGACTTCTGCTATCTTTAGGAACCGGCCTCGGGAGCTCTGCTTCACGTCTAGGTAAAACCTCTTTTTCTGGATGTCCACGCGTTTGGAGGCTAGCTCCTGGATTTCGGCTGCGCCCCCAGCCTGGTTAGGGGTGGCTGAAGCGGAGTAGTGGGGGTAGGGGGGGTGCTGGGCCTGGGGACACAGTCTGCTCTTGCTTAGGCCAGAGCTCCCTACAGTCTTGCCTCCGCGGCCGCGGACGCCGCCGCCGCCTCCCCTTCGCCTGGCTCTTTCCATCTTCAGCTGCAAGTGACAAACAGACACACGGGGTGGGGTGGGGGAGGGGTGGTGAGAACAATCGCAGACGACCCTCGGTCCGCTCGGCCCCCGCCGCCGCCGCCGCCCGAACCCCCGCTCTGGCAGCGCTTCCCAGCTTCGGCCTCGGCAGGACCCGCGGCTGCAGCTCCCCGCGCCGCGCACAGCATCCCTCGGCTGCCCTCGGCCTCCCGCCCGGTTCCCGCACGCTGCGGGCGGCCCAGCCCGGGCTCGGCAGCCCCGGGGGGTCCCCAGCCGGCCGACACTCACATCATCTCCGTCA